TTGGATTTGATTAATCATTTGACAGCCCTATTATATATATATAGTAGATGCTATAGTAAACAGTTCCTCAAAACACAAGGGAAGAATTTGTCGTCTTGGTCTGACAATCCTCAATGTCCAGCTGTATGAGACAAGCCAGAAAAATTCACCAGAAAAGCTGCAAGCAAACCATAAGAAGCCGATGAAACCGAGTCAAGAATGGAGCAAAACCCCGTCGTAAGTTTCATCTACACCAGCACCACATGCAGTTTGTGCCGCTCTGCCAGAGGAAAATGAGTGAAACCTCTCTCATACATAAATATGGTGAGTGCTTACTTGACCGTTTCACAGCTGTTCCTGGTTAGCGGTTTTCTCAGAACGTTTCACACGAACTCTCAGAGCTGTACAAGCAAATGAACATGAATCATATTGTCTAAAACTAATCCAGACGTGCCATTGTACTCCAGCCTCAGAGGATGCTAGTGTGTAGTGCGGGTAAACTACATAAATTAAACAGAAAAATTCAGGAGGATCAAATCAATCAATATTATATTTGGCAGTGATTTCTATGACACATCCCTCATAGACTTCCACAGTAGTTACAGGCTTTATTATATTGGCTACAATAATGCCCTGTCTACATTGTAAGCATGAGATAACTAAACAGAAGTGTATATAGGTGATATTTTCCACTTTTGATTGCTTCTGTACTTAAGATTACTCTTGATAAAGGCATTTGATAAATTATTAAATGTGCACTTTAGTGGGATCACTTTTATAAAAGAAATGAATACTTCTTATTTAGCAAGGGTGCATTAAATTGGTCAAAAATGAAAGCAAATACATGCATAATGTTACAAAAGTAACATAATAGTAAATGTTTCTTGAGCATCAAATCATCACATTAGAAGGATTTCTGAAGGATCATGTGCAGGGACGGACTGGGACTAAAAAACGGCCCTGGACTTTGACTAGGCCCGGCCCAAAGCAATCGGCGCGCGGAAACTCGACAACAACAACAATAACGCCTGCCGCCTGGCATGAGTGTCACAAGACTTTAATTGTGGCTCATAATACTATACCTAGCTAACAGCAAATTATACAATCTATTCCATGCTGTCTTAACATGAATTTATTACTTAATAATCTTAATTAATTTATGCAGTAATTAATCTTAGCTACTGCACAAATAATAATACCACATCTAAATGAAATTACACCATTACAAATGTAACTTCTGTATTCAAAATCTTCAAAGTTTGTAAGCATTAACTGTAACGTTACCAACATTTTTAAAAGTAAAAGCACAACATATTTTCTTAATATTAGCTACAGCATGTGGCATTTTACAGCTAAAATGTTGAAGTTTAGCTGTTTTAACTACTGTAATCATTAAAAATGTAGCAAGCTGAATATCACTTCCTAACATCATCCCTAGCAAGTAACTTGCAAAGTAATTTCTGATTAATTCAGCTCGTGAGTAGTAGAGATAAAAGCCCGCCCGCACTTGATTGGTTGGGTCCTTACATGCGCTTCGTGAGGCACACGCGCACACGCGCACACACACGCAAGGTCTCTAGCTCGCTCCCTCTCTCTGCCGTGCGCGCACTACGCATGTGCGCTCTTATTCGCTCTAGATTCCAAGAGATTTTAACTAATTTGCGGGCATCAGTGAGCCGCTATCAATATGCGGGAGACTCCCGGAACTTCCGGGAGACTTGGGATGTCTGTGACTGCGTGTGTGGCGGGTGGTGGGCCGGCCCGCTGGCCGTCCTGGAGTACCGGCCGTTCTGTGATTCTCCAGATCACACAGATGGCCAGTCCGCCCCTGATCATGTGACACTGAAGACTGGAGTAATGATGCTAAAAATACAGCTTTACCATCACAGGAATAAATTACATTTTAACATAATTCAAATAGAACACAGTTATTTTAAATTGTAATAATATTTCAGAATATTACTGTTTTTACTGTATTTTTGCAGCTTTGGTGAACATTAAAGACTACTTTTCAAAAGCAAACAACCCTGTTCTCCAAATTTTGAATGGTAGTTTATGTGTGTTTCTGTAATTGGCCTTGCTATGCACATCATTCAAAAATATTGATATGGTCAATTCCCCTTGTCCATCATAGTCATATAGTATGATCACAGTCATAATCAACGGAGCAAGAGTGAGAGGATCAGGTTTACAATACTCTATTCTATCTTAAGTCTTTCCAGAAATGTCCATGACATGTTCCTGAACATCTGAAGGTTAATCCATCTCAGTCAAAAGCTCAGACTTCACACAGAGATATGCTCTCAGTGTCCCGCTGACAGCCGAAAACCAACGCACTCACCTTCAGACGTGTACATGCCCCCCAACACAAATGTGGAACAAATTAAACAGCGAAAGAATAGAGAGAAAAGTTATGCAAGAGAAGGTGACAGAAACATTGTTTGTTTGAATGAATGAAGCCCTAAAGCAGTTGTATATTTTCGCTAGAACTAAAATTGTAGAAAAATCAAGACGCGCTAAGATCGAGTAAACAGCGTCAAGTTAAAAAAAGGGGGGGGGGGGGGGGGGGGGGTTGTTGGCCATTCATGCCATGCCAAGAACAAGCTCCTGATTGGTTTGCCTGTAGCAGGCCTTCACTTTGAGCCAACACTCAGACAGAAACGACGCAGGAAGTGACTTTAACAACCCGCCGCAATTATCGCGTGCTCATTGGACTGGAAGCACAAGGCCATAATCAATTATCAATCTGCGGTGAGCAAAGGAGAACGAGTCTGGCGAGGTCAGCACATGCACACGCACATTTGGGGGATAGTCCGGGATCCTGTTTTCGTCAGACAGGGGTTAAGCTATAAAAAAACAGCTAAATTTATGAAATGTGGTCACCAGGGCTTTTCCAGTTGAGTGGGTGTAAAGCCGGCCAACAGAACAAACTGGTGAGCTGATGATCTGCATCACGTAAGGACGCCTGAGGGTCAGGTAAAGAGAAACCACAAGTTTAACAGCATCTGAGAAAGATGCGCTTATGATAACAGTGTGTTTAGTATTTGTAGGAAGAGAGAAATATATAGAAATAGGTGTAAATTATTTAGAGAAAAATTTTTTTTTGTCGATTTGTTTTAGAAAATCGTCAAATCTACACTACCATTCAAAAGTTTGGGGTCAGTAAGATTTCTCAGTAGTGTTTTACTCTTTTACTCACACGGGCTGCATTTATGTGATCAAAAGTAAAAGATACTGTAAAACTCCAGTCTTCAGTGTCACATGATCCTTCAGAAATCGTTCTAATATGCCGATTCTGTGCTCAAGAAACATTTATTATTATGATCAATGTTGAAAACAGTTGTGCTGATTAAAGGTAGGGTAGGCAATTTGTTTCATAAACACTTTTTTTATATATACTGGTTGAAACTCTCTTCACATCCTGATAGAAATCAATAATAGAAGTGGTCATAAATATTAAAACATGGACATATATCGTCTGTGGAAGTCTTAGGACCAGAGATGTTCATCCGATCATTGCATTCAACATGTATTTCCATACATCCATGCACCTGCTCGTGCAGACATCACACGTCATCAAGGGTATGCAGAGTTTTAAGGCTTGTTTCGACTGAGAAACAATCCCTTTTCACTGGGATCGTGAAAAGGCTTGTTCGACTTGAACCAGCACTCCACAGACCGATCGATGAATGACATCAAAATATCGCGAGAGCGATTAGAGAGCAGACGGCTCCGCATGCCTTTCAATCGCTCTCGCGGTACTTTGATGTCATAAACCGATCGGTCTGTGGAGCGCTGGTTCAAGTCGAACAAGCCTTTTCACGATCCCAGCCGAGGAATAAGGGTCGTATGTACCCAAACGATCAGTCATTTTCAAAAAAAAATATATATATATATAAAAAAAATATATATATATATATATATATATATATATATTTACACTTTTTAACCACAAATGCTCGACTTACACTAGCACTGCGATGTGCCACGCATTACGTAATCATGTTGAAAGGTCACGTGACGTCACGTAGGCGAAAGTACCTAGTGTTTACAAAGCAAACGTGCTAAGACTAAGTCAAACATCCTTTACAAAAACAATTAATAAATAAAAGGTAAAACGATGTGGGACGATTTAGCATTTTTCACCCTACCCTACATTTTCCACCTACATCAGGTTACCGCCTGACCTTTCCAACGTGATTACATAATGCGTGAAGTCGTGGACGTGCAAGACGAGCATTTGTGGTTAAATTATTATTTTATTTTTTTTATTTTTTAGAAAATAACGATGGTTTGGCTAGATAAGACCCTTATTCCTCGGCTGGGATCCGTAGAGCCTTTGAAGCTGCATTGAAACTGCAATTTGGACCTTCAACCCGTTGGTCCCCGATGAAGTCCACTATATGGAGAAAAATCCTGTAATGTTTTCCTCAAAAACCTTCATTTCTTTTCAACTGAAGAAACAAAGACATTAATATGTATGGAGGTGAGTAAATTATCAGCACATTTTAATTCTGAAGTGAACTAATGCTTTACGGTTATGATGTCAAATCCAATATAGTTCCCAACTGTGATGCACAACAGCTGATTTTCATTCCCCTCCACAAGATGGCAGCATTTGATTAAATATAGAGATGGCCTCAATGTCAGAACATGCTTTCAATTATGTGATTAAGGCATAAGATTGTGTACCTCTAAATTTACAATATATTAATTTATTATGAATAAACAGTTTGATAATAGCAATATCTTTGCTTATTATTAACAATATCTTATTGTTTAAATGGTATATATATAAAATTAAATTAATTATGGAAAGGAGTTTGCGAGTTTAAAAAAAGAACAGTGAACTGTCATCTGCAGCAACAACAACAAAAAGTTTTTATTTTTTTACATACAAAAATATGTAAGTGTTTAGAGGTCCTTTTAACTGTGCTTGTGTGTTGATGTACATCAGCCTAGCCCTGGGCAAACCAGGCCAATTTTGCATTTGAATTTGAATGACCTTAAAATCTACCTTGAAACAAATGAATCAACTGAATCCAAACATCGACTATCAGACCCCGCTGTCACTCACTTCCTATCTGTAATTTATTTGAAATTGAAATTCCTTCATTTGCAAATGTTCTTTGACCTTTGAGAGTCCATGCTGCTGTCTTTGTGAGTCCTGGTTGTCTGCTGTAATGCATCTCCTCCTGCCTCAGTTTCAGGCATGAAGCAGCTGTCCAGTGAGAGCAGCATTTCGCTCTCGGATGAGGGCGACGGTGATTTGAGTGAGTCTCTCCACAGATCTCTCCCTCTGCTCTGGCACCTGAAGAAACACAAACACACACGCATGTTGGGTTTTCTTGTTTTATGGGGACTTTCCATTGACAATGTTTTTTATACTGTACAAACTGTATATTATATCTCCTTACACTAACCCTACCCCTAAACCTTCTCATCACACAAAACTTTCTGCATTGTTACATTTTCAAAAATACATCACTTACTTAGTGTGATTTATAGCCTGTCTTTCTCATGGGGACCAAAAATGTTCCCACAAGGAGAAGGATTTCGGATATTGCCATCTTTGTGGGGATATTTTGTCCCCGTAACGTAGGGTTTATCTGAACAACACACACATATTTAAACACACTTGAATACACAAGCAGATGTGCTCAAAACATTCTTGACAACTTACCGGCCGTGATATTTGGCAGCCTGAGAAAAAAAATGTCAGGCCTCCTATTGTGCTCACAGGGTTTCAGGTTTTGTTTTCATGTCTCGGGGTCTCTTCTCTTAATTTCCTTATGCCACTGCATCTTTTTATGCTTTTGCATCAGTGATTAATTGCTGCACAACTCTCCTGGTCTTCTCATCTCTTTGAACTGTGTTCAGATTTACATTGTTGCATTAGACAAAGAAATTCTGCACTTTTCACTTTTGGACTTGGACCAAAATCTTGCTTTTCTTTAAAGGGATACTAGACTCTTTTTTTGGAAATAGGCTCATTTTACAACTCCCCCAGAGTTAAACTGTTGAGTTTTACCGTTTTTGAATCCATTCAGCCGATCTCCGGTTCTGGCGGTACTACTTTTAGCATAGCTTAGCATACATCATTGAAGTGGACAAGACCATTAGCATTTCACCAAAAAAAATGACCAAAGAGTTTCGATATTTTTCCTATTTAAAACTTGACTCTTCTGTAGTTTCATCGTGCACTAAGACCGACGGAAAATGTAAAGTTGCGATTTTCTAGGCTGATATGGCTAGGAACTATACTCTCATTCCTGCGTAATAATCAAGAAACTTTAATGCCGTACCATGAGAGCAGCAGGCGTAATGATATGACGCAGCGCCTGAAAATAGGCCACCTTCCGTCAACATAACGGAACTATTTTCAGGCGCTGCGTCATATCATTACGCCTGCTGCTCTCATGGTACGGCATTAAAGTTTCTTGATTAATCGCATTGTTACGCGCAAAATTGAATAATGAATTCTAAAGTAGTGTATTGCGCACATTTGATTTAAATGTACTGCTACAAAAGTGCAATAACATGTGGTTTGCAAAAACTTTAAACAAATAAGGTGCTTTTATACCAGCAGTATTCCCTTTACACAGTATCAATAAAATATTTATTGTAAATCTCAACTTAAACATTAATGTAATCAAATCAAATATTTAAACAAAGCTATTTGCCACTGCCAGGGCATTACCTTTTATCTAGCTTGTTAAAACGAGTCCAGTTTTCTTGTTTTTTTTTTTTTTTCTGAACAGGTATCTTGTATCAGGAAGCAGCAGAAACAGTCTATGTAGTCAAAGGGTCATGATCACTACTACAGATATAAGTCGACCAACGTTACTTCTCTGATAGCAGCTTAGGTTTGGTCATGGCATGCCATGGTTTCCCACGTAAGATTACATTAAACAGAGGTAAAGCCAATTTATACTTCTGCGTCGAACTCACGCCGTAGCTGTGTAGCGCGCGTACCCTGACGTGCATCTCTCCAAAAATGTAACGTCAATTCTACGCGTACCGCAAGCGCTGTGATTGCTAGAACCGCTCCCCGGGTTTCACACTCTCCCTCTGCATGTGTAATTGCGCGTCAACGCGGACAACGACGCAGATATATAAATGAAAACCAACGCGTATCTATAGCGTAGAGGCTCCGGCGTAGGTCCGACGCAGAAGTATAAATCAGCCGTGAGGTGAAGTGGTCGAGCACAGGTGCAGCGACAAGCGGGTGCGTTCCTGTGAAATAGTTGCGGTCATACTCGTCTCACGCACGCGCCCGCGCGTTGCCGAAGTTGAATTGTCTAACTTTTTGTACACGACGCGTCACACGCAGCACAAATCATTGGAAGAGAGACTGATCCTCGGCTCGCTGTTTGTGAGTTTCCAGAATCTAAATAGTTATCAGGACATCAACAGGAGGGAATTCACATGGCAGAGCATCCCCGCTAAACTAAACGCAGGCCTATCAGGTAAAGTTATGTATAATTTTAATTTAAGTTAAAAAGGCTACAGCTGCGTAGCGCACAGAAGCCGTTGCCATGGTTACTATAGAGCGCCTGTCATTCACTCGCGGAGCGCTGTCTCCCTTTCTGTTCACCTGAGAGAACCTGCCAAAGCCTCTCCACTGCTTGTTTGGGTGGGTTATTTGCTGGCTGACCAACATCCCACCCCTCCTGTGATCCACGGTTTGACTGTAGGCCTATGTGTATTCAGAGCCAGTGAGCAACGGACTTTCAAAATAATAATTTTTAAAAAAAAACTGCGTTAACGCGCGATAAAAAAATTGTCGGCATTAATTAATAAATGCGTTAACGCGATAATAACGCGTTAACTTGCCCAGCACTAGTAATTTGGTGTTTGGTTGTATAGTTTGTTTCTGCTGTTCTGTCTGTATTGAACATCATCTTGGCTGCTGCAGGCTGATGAGTGCTATAATAAAATGACTACATTGTTAAATGTGTTTTGATATTCATTATATTTTTATTATTAATATTTTATTTACCCATAAACTTGTCTTTAGGCAGCCATAAGTTATAGTGGCAAGAATAACTTTGTTAAACCTTTAGGGGCGGTTTCCCAGACAGGGTTTATATTAAGACAGGAGTTGGCCTTAATCTACTTAATAATGTTTTTTTTTTAAAGATTAAGTACATTACTAGCAAACAGATTTCCAGATTTATTTTCTTTTATTTCAAAGCTGATGTGTGCAATAGGCCTATATGTATATATATATATATATATATATATATATATATATATATATATATATATATATATATATATATATATATATATATATGCTTGCATTAAAATAATTGTCTCTTGTTTTTTTTTTATTGCAGTCTTTTTTGTTGCTTCCATTCATGCTTCTCAGTTCCAGGCAACTTTAAGATTCTCTTGGTTCATTCCATAGGCTACCTCTGTCACAGTTTGTTTTACAGTTTTTTCAAATTGCTAAGACACTAAAAGTGGAATTTGAGGCTCACTCGGTGAAATCATTCAAACTTTTTGCATAACTCTAAACACATTTCTCTACATTACACACACCATTCAAAACTAACAGCTCTTGTGTTTAATTTGGGAAACACTGCCATTTAAATGCAACATTAATTTCAGTTTGTGTCAATTTAAATAAGATTACTAAAGCAAATAATCTTGCTTTCTTCTCACATCATATGCTCCTGTGACCATGTGTCAAAAAATAACGTCCCACCTTCAAATGGTGCTTGATAGTGACTCCCAAACCTTATTGGACTTTTCCAAACATTCTAATTGGTTGCAATCATTTAAAGAAAAATGTACTGAACATGGGCTAAGGGCTGTGCTGTAGAGGGTTAATATTTAACCTTTAAACACTTCCCGTTTTTCCCTCAGAACTCTTATATCAGTTGATTATGTTTAAAATATAGATATCCTTACATTAATGCAGTTTATTTACCTAAGTTCCTGGATTTAATCAATCATTTTAATAGTAAATAAACATATTTTTATTATTTCACTTAAATAGAAAAAAAAAACAGTTGCATGCATGCAATGGCCAGTTAAAACATATAATAGATCACGCATTAAGTGTCTCCTTTTGTGGGGAAAGATAACATAAAATGGCATTTAATGTTGCCGCTAGATGAACCAAAAAAGACTGAAAAGGCGATGACAAATCATGACAAGGCTGACATCACACACTACGTACCCATGCATTATCCCTCGTGAACAATTACAACGTCTGATGTTTGCTTACGTGCAGACCAGTATACTATTATAGGTGTGTTCGACATCGGCTGCGGCTGGATGTAACTGATCGGCGCGAGTAGCCGCGTGCAGGCGGGGAGGAGCTGCAAACGGAGACGTGAAGTCGGACACTTTCTTCTGGTTCCTGTAGTGACCGCTCACGTGGTGTTTGTATACTTAGCACAGCTGAAGTGAAATAAATGCAATATTTGCCAAATACACCGATGTTTCAGAGATATTTTCATTCAATACTTTATGTACTGCTTCATACAGCGTTTGTTTGAACAAGAATAAAGTTCAACATAAGCCTACAGCTACTATCAATGAAGTGGAATCAACGTTTTTTAATCAGTTTTATTTTGATAAACATAACACAATACATCGCGACTACATGAAAAGAGTGTTTACTGTTATAAAAAAAACCTGATTTGTGAGCTTTAGTGGAACTAAAGGTGTGAGAATAAACCGAATAAACACGAAACGCACGTGATCGTTGTCATGCGGTGAATCCGGCCAATCGTGGAACAGCTGTGTCGTCATCAGAGCTCGTGCAGCCCAGAGCAGCCGCTCTTCAGGGATGCTTCTCATGCCCTGTCCCAAATGGAACCCTAAGCACTCGCGGTCTTCCTCTGAGTCCGCACTTTCGCGACGTAACGCCGCTTTGAATGTCGGGAAGAAGTCTGCTGTGGAGTCCGCATCAGCGCGGGCTCGGCAAAAGTGCCATCAAGGGCGCAAATCGACCGCAGAGGGGGCGCTCGCGAGCACCCTTCTGAGATCTAAAAATGACAAATGGGACACACTACGGTCTCACGGACTTAACGGACACGCGCACGCGGCAGCCATTGTAAGTCCACAAGACCGAAAGTGCACATGAAGTGTGCCATTTGGGACAGGGCCTAATTGCACCGCGAGGAGGCGAGGATCGAGGAGTGAGGAGGCTTCCAGAGGAGCTATGAGCGAGGATACACAGGTGTACCCTTTGCGGAAGAGTTTTATCGACTAAACATGACGCACGTATCAATTCTCCTCCCCCATCACATCTGTCACAATCATTTGAATTTATACTTTACTGTTGTAGTTTAC